ATAATATATATTATCTTGTATAGGATCAATATATCTCGTTAATAAATATTTTAAAAAGTGCTAATGATAATGAAGATTGAATGAACATTGCGCATTGAATGATAAAACAATAGTTCAGTCCATCGTTTACTTGTTCGATCGTCTTTGAATGATGATTTTTTTCAACTGCGCGAAAGAAGAAGCCTAAAGTGATAGTTCGTGCAGGACAAACAGCGAACTCTGAAGTGGTGAATGCTATGGAAATGGTGGGGATACGGCCGTACACTACAGAGATGCGACGACTCAAAGTAGAAGAGATAGCCAGTTTCGACTGAGCAGTGGGGTAAACTATTAAGTGGTGGGGCGAAAAAGAGGAAAGGGTAGGACGGTTGGGGGCGGGCGCGCGCCACAATTCAACGAGAACGGCTGCACTCACCACATCTGGCGAGCAACTGCCACACTATCGGCCTATATTCAAAATTTTATTCTTCAAAAAATTTCTGATGTCGTAAACCAATTTAGAAATCTATATAACGATAGAAGTATCCATTTGATAGACATGCAAATAAAAGAATAAAATTACATAAAAAGTTATCGAAAGATATTTAAGATGATATTTCATAATTTTATTGTAATATAGCTGAAAAATTGTTTTTAGAAAATTTTACATTATTTTAGTATAATAATATGATAATAACCTCACGTTATTTTATACATTTAGCAATAATAAGATAAGTAATAAATAAGAAATAAAAATTTTGAGATTTTAGAAAATGAAATATCGGGAATATAAGTTCTGTAAATTGATCATAGGACAAAAGTGCAGCGGTCGTACATGCTAAAATGTCAAAGAGATTTTGCATAAAATTATAAAGAATTTATTTAAAGTCTTATCTGCGATGAGCAAAGAGAGCTCCGCCTCCTCAGCCGTCCCCTCTGCCCCAGTGCTACCCCACAGTGCCCCCCGTTTGACCAACTGGCTACTACGTCACACATGCTTCTGCTTAGAGCCGCCAACTCCGAAGGCTCTCCTCTCAGGCCGGTTCAGTGAGTTACGAGTTGCGTCCGGGTTCGCCGTACGAGCGATAACGGGGGCGTCAATCGAATCGCGATTGGGAGAGGATTCTACCTCGCACGCTCTTCCCTCCTTGTCTTTCTCGGCTACAGGCAACAGGTTTGAATTTATGGGACAATAAAGAGTGTGGTGCGTAGTGCGCGTTTCTCTCTCTCGCTCTCTGCCTCTCTCTCCCCCCTCTCTCTCATCTCTTCCTGTTACGCCTTTCTTTCCTGCTCTACATCGCACTTTCTCTCTCGCAAACGTCTTGTCCTTTCGTTGTGAAAAGAGGAGTGTGAGTGCGGCGAAGACTATCAAACTCTCATAAAACTGTCAGCCGCGGCCACTGGGCTGACTTATGTGCGCCCCTTCCTTAACCGCGCTTCGAGAACCACACGCTGTCAGGTTGAGTCTGCATCTCCCGCGACGAGCACGTTTGCCCATCGCAAACGTCTTAACGAAAGATCAGACGCGCGATCTTCATGATTTAGGAAAAGAGATGGTCCCGAAAGTGGACTCGATCCGCTGATATCTGCGAGTCGCGGTTTCTGCGTTACAATATGCAAGTATTACAATTCACACTTGTAAAATATACTTTTCTTCCGTCCTCTAATCAAGAAGAGATACGATACATATGATCGAGCTAAAATGGATTCGCGACGGATGAAATCAGCGGAGATACGGTGATATTAATGGGCGAATCGTTTTCGGTCGATCAGTAAGGAACAATCGCGCCTTCGTGTGCCGTACCACCCCTTTTCTTTTTCATCTGTCTTCACCGCGAGGCTATACAGTAGGGGGCGCGTGCGCGCGTAGCCCCCCTCGCAAAGCGGACGGAAGACTGCTTCTTGGTGACGTCGCGGCTAGAAGGCTGCAGAGGAGAACGAGAGAGCGATCGAGATACTTCTCCCCCACCAAACGGTTTCAGGGCTCCCGAATATCTCTCCATTAGCCCCCCTGACGGTGCTATCCCCTCTCCTTGACCCCTCTCTCGCTCTCTTTCTCTCTCTTACGCACACCCCTCTCATCGGTTCCTGTCACGTCGGGTAGCAGCCGGGCAACACTACCACACGACGAGCGCCAGCGGCAGCGGAGACTCGACGGAGACGCAAGGAACGGGGTTGAAGAATCGTACGCCGACGGAGAGACCAATCAAGGTTTGACGAACGGCAGGGATTGGTCGAGGCGCTCCTCTGACACGCAGAGAGCGCGGGCACGTGACAAGCTACCGCACACACCGGCCTTCCGTTGGATCGTGGCGAGGCCTTCAGTACGATACCAACCACCCTTCGCGTACGCAACAGGAACGGCAAACTCGCGCGCGGGTACACTCTTCACCCTTTACCGTGATCGAGCTTCTGTCGTTGCCGCGATATAAAGCTGTCTGTTAAGTGCAACACCTGTGACAACGTTGAAGCGCTATTAATCACCGCGTGAATAATTTTAATGCGCGCACATCGTGTTATTTCATTGAGAAGAGACTTGGCAAGGTCATCTTCAATGGGGCGCCTCGATAAGCTGTTTGTTACGCGCTACTGCACGGTAGGCCCACAAGTTCTCTGTAGGTAATCGTGCGACTCCTGAGATCGTAAAGAAGCAGAAGACAGTTTTATAGCCCAGGCCCACGTGGCCCTCGTAAACTTGACTCGCAGGTCGGTTCGAATTCAGGCTCGACCCGCCTGCCGCCAGACGTCTGCCTCTCTCTATTAATCCTGAACCCCTCGTTCATTATCAAATCGCTTAGGGACGTGTTTCTCTCACGTGTAACAGGTCGTGATTGCTGTGAATCGTTCGACGAACAAGGTGAAGCTTGTCGGAAGAACCGTCCATATGTGTCACGCGATTCTTGTCATTGCGATTCTCGTCACTGCGGTACGATGACAAGTTTCTATGCTTAATGACGACACGCGTTGTTCAGCCGCCTCAACCGCTCAAACACAACGTCAGTGTTTTCGTGAATGACGGAACGTAGACGTGAAAAATTATTGATATAGTGACGTTGAGACGGCAAGTGAAGGTACGTGAAGAATGAGTTCCTATCAGTTCGTCAACTCGCTCGCATCATGCTACGCGGGTCAACAGCCACAGCAACAGCCAAGACCGACCGCGAATTCACCTGGAGAACCGATGCAGGCAGCATCGCCGGCCGGTGGCGACTACTACAATCCAAATGCAGCGTCTACCAGTTATCCCGCACCTTGCTATTCGCCTCAGCAGCATTATCCTCAGCATCCTTATGCCACGCCGGCATCGGGTATGCAGCATACAGCACCGACAGGAATGATAGACTATACTCAATTACAACCTCAACCTCGGTTAAATGCGACCACGACGTCACAGCAACATGGTATGCACGCTCAACAGTCGCAACATCATCAGCAACCGCACCATCCTCAACAACAACTTCACGCGGATCCAACGACGCCTCTTTTGCAAAGCGCCTCGGCACCGTCAGCACCGTCAACGTCCAGCTGCAAATATGCTGATTCGACATCGTCCACCAATGTGGCGTCTCCTCAAGATTTAACCACATCCACTTCAAGAAATAGCCCAACGCCTTTAGTGGCACCCGGAACGAGTAAAACCGCATCAGGATTGACTTCACCGCCTGGTAGCTCGTCAAGGTCGTCTGTGGCTGCATCTGCCGCATCACCACCTAGTGGTAGCTCGAGAGGTGTCGGCGAGGGAAATTCGACGTTGACAACAGCATCTTCCGCTTCGTCGCCCGCTTCCTCTACATCCAGTACCTCGAGCACGGGTAACAATTCGTCCAACAAGGGGAACCCCTCTGGCACTAACCCGCCTCAAATATATCCATGGATGAAAAGGGTTCACATTGGTCAGAGTAAGTCGTTCATTTATCGTATCTTTTATCGTTTAATTCTGTTTTTATCGTTTAATCTTGTTACTAAAATACTTATTACTACAATTTTCTCAATATATATATATATATATATCTTCCATTTCCCTTTTTTTTCGTTTCCGAATGAAAAAAATTCGCTTTTAATTTTATAAAAACAGCAAAAAAGGAAATTAATAACAATAAAATTATTTGGTTTATCATGGTTGAGATTATAAACGTTTAAGATAAAAATTCCTAAAAAGTTTTGTGTTTTATTTTATTTTAAATTTAAATATTTAGACATAATATACGATTTAATATACGATATCTTGGTTAACATATTAATATATGTGAATGCATATATTTATTCTTTTTAATATTCAAAATCCATCCATCCATTAAAAATGTAAAGACACTTCATTACAACGAAAATATACGATTTCGTAGATTATAAATCTATCTAATTTTGATAGTAATCTCTACTCATTTATTATGTTTCGTGTTTTAACGGTAAACAGGAATATATGAATTTTGACATTCGAAAAATATTACTTAATTTAAAAAGCAAATCTATTTATTTGTAGATATTTACATTTTATCACGTTTTAAATGTAATGATGTGTTATTAATTTGCGTAATATGCTTTTTTATAATGTGTAATAATATTTTTGCAAGAAAATTAAGAAATGATTAAGAAAAATATATTAGATTACAAATAGCTTACGTGTCTAAAGTATTCGAATCATCGACATTCTAATGTCTAAAATTAATAAAATTAAATATTGCATAAGAATAGCAAAATAATAATAATTAAATTGTAATGCATTTATTAAATCTGACATAAAAAAATTGCATTTATTAAATCTGATATAAAAAAAATAGACTTAAATATTGCTTAAAAGTTATACATAATATATACACATATATATATATTATGTATAATTATGTTTTATCATGTGAGATAACAAATATTTTGTAAAAATGTAGAGACATGGATTCTTTGCAAAAATGCAATGCTATGCAATGTCTGAAAAACTGTACTAAATTATAGAAAAGAATACAATTGAAAATCTCTTTTACACTTATAAAATTTTTCATGTATTATTAAAAATAAAACTTATCGGGAAATAAATATAATCAAATTTAAGATTATTTTATTGAAAAATTTAAAATATTTAAAAAAGATTTGTTTGTATAAATACTATAAGTACTATAATTAGACAAAATATGAATTATTAAGCGCGAAATATTACTATGTCGTTCTTCTTGCGTATCTTTCGTTGACTTGAAAAGAAAACACAAGATTATGGAACGGATTTCTCGCGGAAAGTAAGAAACAATTAATAACGATAATACTATTAATCGAGGCAAACTTAACTTTACATAAATATCAATCCCCCCCCCCCATTGGCGCTTTATAATCACATCAAAATTGCCTGTACAAAATGTCGCGACCCGTGGCTTCAGGCTCAATCACATACGTATGCGGAAATGAGTTCACGTTTCGAGATACGGACGAAAAGCAGTGCGGGGATGCAGTCAGAACGGATAACAGTAATTCAGCGGGGACCAAGACTAGATTCACCTGCCCCCATGGTTCAAAGAAGATAAAACAGCCCAGCGCGCTGGTCGCGCTCACATTAGTCGCCCCGCGTGATTTACTGCGCGGCCAGTATGATTCAGTCAGCGGGGAATTTGACGAAGAATTAATGGTATTATGATATCGTGTGTAACTCTATGTATGTGCGCCCGGGCCATAAATCAGACTGCATTGTAAGGCGCGGGGGGTTGCCTTCTCCTTCTAGTTCTCTCGGGTTAGCTCGAACGAGGGCCTCAGATCGACTCGGCCCCCAAACGGGATACGCGGCTCAGATCTTTCTTGTACAAGTTTCGGCTTCCTCTTCCAATCGCTCGCATCATGCCCGCCTGGTTAATGTAGCATCCTTTTACCTCGGCTTACGTCTCTCGCGCGATTATTTCGCGTGCACGTCGGTGCCACGAGAAGCGAAAGGTATGAGCGGATTCGCCGCTTTATACCGGTTATGGCAATATCATATTATAAAAACAGGATCTTATAATGTATATATTTAGCATGATATGGATCTCAAAGGTCCCAACAATTAACAACTTCCAATTCTGAAGTGAAATTCCAACTGTGATCGTTAAACTGTTGAGCAATGTTTGATAGCAATGCAAAAAATTCAAGATTACCTGTGAATTATAATTAATTAATTGCTATAATTAGTTAATTGCGCTGGTGATTGACAAAAATTACGACAGAAAATAAATTTATATGTTAATATAAGATAAATAAAATATATCTTTTAAAAAGTTGAAAAATATTGCGTAAATAGTATGATCTATAATGAATAATGATTGGAATATTCTACTCTAACAGAAGAATAATTACTAAAGCAAAGAGAAAAGTGAAGTAAAATCATAAATCTTGTGTAAACGCATGGAATGCACTAATCCTGAGCAGTATGTTTGAAATAGTTATCAGGCACTATTGACCTGTTAATTTTCGAATATCTTTAATGCAAAAGCTCTTTCTTCGTTTGAACTCTTAATATTTAATTACTAATAATTTTTTTATTTGTATCTGGTATCTTGAAATAAATTTCAAGAATATTTTTTTATGAAAAAAGGGAATTCTTTTATATGATTTATTTTTATCATTCTAAATCAACTATTACAAAAGTCATATGTTTAGATTATGATAGATTTATAAAAAAGTATTTGAATAAATACATACAAGACAAACGTTGCATAAAAAAATCTGTGATCAGTTACAACAATTACAAATGAAAATAAATAATGCATATTCACATTAAGAGGAAAATAATTGATTTGTTGAAGTTAATGTTCACCAACATAAGACATTTCGTTTAGACTTTATCCAGCCGTTCCGACGCTTTTGAACGCGCTGCTTCTTTTGATGCATAAACGTTTGAATACTAGATTTGAAAAAATAAGCTACTTATTAATAGCCAAAGAAACGAATAAGAGAATTTGGTTTATTCGAAGTAACAATAGTATATGATTTTACTACTTTGCTTTGTGCTTTGCGAATAAAAACATGCTTTATTAAAATATATAAATATGCAATTACATATATGTATATAAACATATTTATTATGCTATTTTGTAATATTTTAACATAAAACAAAATATTTATTATGTATGACTTTTATGAGAATACGTTAATAATTATATTTTTTTAAAATTAAATTTAAAGTTAAATTTATACAAAAATATTTCAATAGTATCGAAACATAATATATTTTACAAATGATTTATTTGGAGTGCTTATGTGATTGTGATTATTATAATTAATTCTGGAGGATTTGTTATTATACAAATAGCAGCATAATTATTTATATTGTTATTTATGTATATTACTGTTTAACATATAGATGACGTTAGATCTAGGGAAAGTAAGAAAAAATAAAAAGAATGTGCATATTTTAAAAATGGCTAAGTGAATTAGGCAAATAGAAAGTAGATTTACTTTATAGAAAATAGGATGAAATTATATACAAATCATTCTTCCATAAACGATACTGATGTACATAAAAGTATATAAATCTCGAAAAAATTATTATTAAAATAATTGCAGCTTCTGATTTTGATAATTTTATTGTGAAAGGTTTAACTCCAATTATTCGTCAGTATTCGTCATTTGTCAATATATTTTGAATCTCTTATTATTTTAAATAATTATTCTAATTATTTGTTAAATAGAAGAAAATACTTTTTATTTAAAGTTGAAAATTATTTAGTAACTCTAATTTTTTGTATCTTTCACAATTTATTATTTGTTTGTTTGAATACTGTAAAAATTATCCGGAATACGACCTTGCTGCCGGCAAAATCATGCAGCCAGAAGCATGTGGGTCATCCTCGGGATAAGTAACAAGTCCGAGATAGATCCAAGATAAGTAGCTATCATCTGACGAGCAGCAAACGCGAATAAACATGCAATTGATGCGTGAAGTGAATAGTTCTGCAGTTTATTTCCGAAATATTGACCTGCATGCATACGAATAAGCGTTACAGCCTCTGTTTAGATAAGCAGAAGGTCGTTTTCGTCATGGAGTCTGTAATTATGGGCCGATCATTCCGCCATAAATAAGGATGTGCGGAACGCCGCGAGGAAAGGCACGTTTCTGTGTCCCGATTGATAGATGGTTACCAACGTGATTCCCAACGTACGAATCCCCCACGCCGGAAGGGTAGACAGTCGAACCAGTGGAACTGGATCTCACTTAATGCCCTTAGCACATTTACACGTCATAAATATGTGATAGTTGGCGGAACAATTTTCTTGTCAAGGAATGGCGTCTACAAATGATTTAAATGAACCATGATATTATGTCAAGCTTGCTTGATTGCCATTTTATTCTATTAATTTGTCATAATTCTATATATGTACGCTAATGTTCCATATATATATATATATATATATATATATATATATATATATATATATATATATATATATATAAACTATTCATATATATGTATATGTATGTGTATATGTATAGCCATATACATATATATCATATGTAATGAAAAAATAGAAAACAGCTTTTCATTTACTATATTCGAATTTAGATATGATGTAGATAAATAAATACTATATAGTGCCTTAAGCAAACACATACGCGTATGTACATACGGTTATGGCGCACTGACAGGAGAGGGAGATACGAGGACGCGCTTCAAAGAACTGGTTTTACTAACCACATAGCATACTGCATTTTTACGCCGACGAAAAAGTTTTTATTCCGAGACGCTTAATCAATCCACGCCATACATATGACTGTTCTAAGACATTAGAGTTAGCAAAATGTAGATTATTCGTCACCATCTAAAAATAATTTTATGATTATCTCTTTAGAAAATCTATGCCCAGCATACTTTTTCTCACGTTAAATCGTCACATAAATATTGTTATAAAATTAATTGTTGGTTCATAAGAAAATAAATAATAAAATGCA